TATATATATATATGTATATAAATTTTGTATAAAGTAAAAAAAAAAAACAAATACATTGTCTTTTAGGATTAATAATTGTATCTTAAACATTTCTAGATTAATTGCAAGTCTGATTTTTTTCTTTAAAAAAATGTATATAAAGCACTATGTGGTCATTGGATTTATGTCTTTTGCTTTCCAGCAAAAAATATAGATTACAATGTATATGTAAAATTTAAATTGAAATTCTATGCACAAACTAATAAACAGATGGATTCAAGTAGTTGTACTTTTTAGCTTACCCATCAAAAACGGAAGTAAGGTGAGTATCTGCATGATGCTATGTACTTCCAAGACACGTCCGTCTAGTATCACTCTTCTTTTCTTTGTGAGCTGATGCTTTACATACATCAAATCATGCTCATCGTTTCACCTTCATAGAAAATGTCGTTTTAAGTTCGCTTGTCGTTACAGATATACAATATGATTCCAACGAACTCTTGTCTCTATAACGTAAACAATAATCTAGCGATGTTTACATCTTGCCTAAAAATATACTTTATATATCACCTTGTTTCCGATCCTTCCTATGATACAGCTGATATCTTATTGCAGACTTCCAATTTTTTATTAGGATTTTATTTTATATATATAAGAAGACATATTTCAACAATATAAAATTAATTACATAAATATGTTAAAATATATGCATAAAATATATACATTTTACAAAAGGTTAAATTTATTTTAGGCCCTGCGCACAATAAAGGAATTAGAAATAAAGAATGAACGATTCTAACTTATCAGAAATCGAATACATCGGAATACATGGTTTCTGATAGGTTGAAATCGTTTATTCTTTATTCCTAATTCCTTATTCCTTCCATTGTACGCAAGGCGTACAATATTTAGAATTATAATAGAAATATGTCCTCATAAACGTTTAATTATATGTGATTGTATATTTACATAATTAACATATTTAATTCAATATAATTATATATATTTAAACAAATATAAATATGTTATTATAGGAGATACGTTGGGTCATGTTGCACGATAATTAATTCAATCAATTCGCAATCATGGTTGCCACCTTTCCAGTTTTCAGCTAGGAACTCCGACTTTTCGATCAAATCTTTGGCTCTCCGGAAAGAAATTCTCTGGCATGGCATAAAATTTTGTTGACCTTTTTTAAGTGCACGTCTCTATTTTTCTTCGATATTTAGAAAAATATTTCTGGCAGTAGGCGTGAGAAGAGTCAAATCTGATAACTTTTTTTTAAATTTTAGTAATGGCACCGACGAGATATTATTAAAGACCGACAACCCTGGGCAAATTTTCGGCGGTATAAAAAGGGCCCCAAAGGCCCGGAGGTAATTCAAGAACGCTGACATTACCGA